TGTTCTTGATTTGCCTTTGGATTATCAAGCAGTGTGTGTGTGTGTGTGTGTGTGTGTGTGTGTGTGTGTGTGTGCGCGCGCGTGTGCGTGTGCATGTGCGCGTATGTGATGGATTCTGTCTGTCTTCCTCCTCACGGGGATGCATTGTTGGGGCAAACATGATGCCCAAACCATTGCCTGACCTCCTGAGGACCCAGGAATAAATACATTACGATGGTGGTGCTGCTGCAGTTTCTTTTACTTAAGATTGAGCTGGGAAATAATGCCAGGATCCAATTAAGACTTGTTAAGATAAGGCCCTGCTCAGATTAACAATACATTTAGTACTACTTGAAAAAAATAACATATATACATGAGTATGTAGGGGAGAAGGTTCTTTTCAAACATTCTTTTGTTACAAAGATTTACTTCCAAATTGCTTGTTTGAAATTGAAAGCATACCACATTTTCTAAAAAAGGTTTTTATATAGTCAACTCTCTGAATCCTTGGGTTCTGTGCCTGTGGATTTCACTGACCTCACAGTGAAAATATTTGGGGAAAAAAAAAAAGTCCTCTGTACCGAACATGTACAGACTGTTTTTCTTTGTTTTTCTTGTCATTGTTTCCTAAACACTACAGTATAGCATCTACTTATGTAGCTTGCTTGCAGTGTATTGGTGTCATAAGCAACACAGAGACAGTGTAAAGCACATGGGTGGATATTTGGAGGTTTTAAGCAAATACTGTGCCACTTACAGTATATGAGGGACTGGAGTATCAGTGGGCTTTGTTGGCTATGAGGGTCCTGAAAAGTTCCTACCTCAGATTCAAGAAATTCAAGCACAGAAGAAAATACTTAGGGATAGATGCCTCTGTCTGTCTGTCTGTCTGTCTGTCTGTCTGTCTCTCTCTGTCTCTCTCTGTCTTTCGCTCTTGCTCTCTGTCTCTGACTCTCTGTCTGTCTGTCTCTGTCTCTCTCCTCTTGAGGTGTGAGTTGGCTTATAGGGCGTCATGTCCCCACTCGTCATGTTGTATGTAAGTGGCAACAACACTGCCAGGTCTGCTGCTGAGCATCAGGAATGCAGCACTGAGTAAGATAGGCGCCATCTGTGCGCACTGCAGTCTCACAGGAGAGGTGCACATTAAACTCTTAATTAGACTAATAATTATTAAAAATTGTGATAAGAGCCCTGAAAGAAAATAAGGAAAGCCAGAGGGTGGTTCTGAGCAGAACTTCCTATGAGCCTGGATTCTTGTATTTCTAAAACCATTGATTTTCTTAAGAAAGTTCGGTTTGCAACCTGCTGAGGAAGCTCCAGCAGAGGGGAGGCCTGGGGCTGACCAGTGAGTGTCTTGAGGGGAACAGGGCTGTGAATTGGAATCCCTGGTTTTTTTAGTCCCATTGTAGGATGAGGAATACTACTTTAATCTGATGAAAGTTTAGTTCTTCCACTAGGAAAATGAGCCCACATTAAAAATCATGGGTAAACAAAGGCAGGAATTTTCCTTGTTCATTTTCTGTCAGCTGTGCTGTCTTATATTCACAGGTGTTTCTGAAGTGTCAGTGCACGTGGTCTCCATCTATCTTGTACTCGGGTTACACATTTCCTGTGAGGATGACCATTTCCTGCTGGCACTTTCGTGGAAGTCTAGAATCTGTAGGGCAGAGTTTCTCAGATTATATTCCGGCAAATGAGATGGAAACCACAGTACTTGGGAGTTTGAGCTCTAGAGTTAGACAGTTCAAATTCAGGCCTTGAGGAATTCAGGCCAGTCTCTAGGCTTCACT